TTTTTCGGCTGTTCCAAATCTTCATCTAGTTCTGTGAAGTTAGTTTCCAAAGGAGGGACTTGTTTGTTTCCTTCAGGCTCTTCTAGCTGTTGTTGCTGAACTATTTCTTCCATGTCTGGTTGTATCTGAACTTCTTCCTGTGGAGTTTCTTGTACCTCATCTGCTGGCATTTCATATATTCCGAGACCGTTTTTAAAAAGTTCCCTATCTAAGTCATCCGGACTCATAAACCTTTCTTCTTTCGTTCCGTCTCTATTTTTTACGCGTTTCATGAAGAGAGTTGAATTATCATTTAGCTCTGACACCAAATATCTCGGAGTAAATTCAGTCATGTCATTTGGATGATATGCTATTAAATCATATCCCTTAGCGAGCTTGTATTTTCCAGGTTTGAAATTATATCCCATTTGGTGCTGAACCATAAAGCTAAATAGGTTCGGGTCAGTATTTCCTTCCTTGAACTTTCTAATAGCTTCTTTATATCTGTCACTAAAGTCAAGAGTATCTGGGTAACCATAGTCTTCCTTAAGCATTTTTAAGAATTCTTGGTTTCCTTGTTCTCTACTTCTTTTATGTCCTTGCTCTGTTTGTGGTTGTTGCTGTGCAGTGTTTTGAACTGTTGGTTGTGGTGCAGTGTTTTGAACTGTTGGTTGTGGTGCAGTGTTTTGAACTGTTGGTTGTGGTGCAGTGTTTTGAACTGTTGGTTGTGGTGCTGGATTTTGAACTGTTGGTTGTTGTGTTGGTTTTGGTGCATGCCTGTGTCTGTGTCCATGTGACGATGTAAATGTTTTAGGTAGTCCTGGTGCAGGTGCTTCTCTTGGAGGGTTTGGTGGTATATAAGTTCCACTAGCTAGTATATAAGTTCCACCAGCTGGTATATAAGTTCCACCAGCTGGCACATATGTTCCATCTGCAGCATAATGTCCTACCTGACTTTTCGTTTTTAAGAAAGCATTTACTAGGTCTGTTTTGGTCTGTTGTAACTCTTTTTCTTGACTTTCCACAACAGTTGCTCTAACGGCGTCATAGGCACTTTGAACTGCCTGTCTCGTTGCTGCATCTGTTATTTTCGTCATATTTTGTGCTACTTCTCTTAACTCTTTGTCGAAACCTTCAGACTTCAGTTTCTTTCCAGATGAGAAGTCGTTCACTAGTTTCACCTTACTATGAAGAGCTTCGAAGGCGTTCTTAAAGTCAGCATTCATTAAAGCTTCATTTGAACTGTCTTCATCCGCTTGTATTTTTGTCCTTATTGACCCTATAAGTTGGGCTGCTTTAGCGTTGGCTTGGGCATCTAACCAGTCATTATTAGCTTTTATATATTCTGCGCTTTTCATTGCCTTTTGCATGGCTGCGTCGTTATTTTTACTTTCTTGTGCTAAGTTTTCATACTGTACGGTTTGGTTTTGCAACTGTAAAAGTTTTTCTGCCTTTACATTTGCTTCAACTTCTTTTTTATACTCATCGCTATCCATATATGTCTTCAGGGCTTTTTTTTTATCTCTTCATCTTTCAGTACTTTATATTGAGTAGTATGGTTTTTCAAATTTATAACATCTTGTTCCATTTTTGCTACTTCTGCTGCTTTTTCTGACACTTTTTTCGCATATTCCTCTGTACTTAGTTCTTTCAGTTGTTCTTCTTTCTTCTTTTTCTCTACGTTTAACTCATTGAGTTTCTTTGTGTGTCTGTCATATTCTAGTTTCTTTTCGTTTTCACTTATTTGTTTCTGTATGTCTATGTTTGACTTTTTGACATCTGCTATTTGATTTTTGAGTGAACTCAAATTCATTTGACTTTGAGGGTTATAAGCTGTTCCGTCTGCAGCTCCACCATAGCCTGCCATTTTCGCTAAAAGTGCCGCTCTTAAACCTCCACTCTGTGCACCAATAACTCGGTTTAAAAGCATAGGGTTGCTTGACATTTGTTGCAACATAGTGGGGTCATTCAGCATTTGTTGTTGCAACTGTTGTTGTGGTGTTAGTTTTACTATTGGATGTTTCAATGCTCCCTTCCTCTTACGTATATTCTTACGTAGCTTACGTGGCATTTTAAGTGAAGTTAAAAAGCGGTTTTTGACAGATGTTTATATGACACTTTTTGTTCAGCACAAAAAACTACTCGGTCAAAGTGTTGTCAGTTTTGTAAAATAACCGTCCTATCTCCGTGCCTATGACGAAGAAATCATGACAAATTCATGAGGTGAGAAAAGAGGTGAGAAAACAGGTGAGATCTCACCTCTTCACCTAAATTATATTTTTGGTCATTTACACTCATTACGAAGAAGTCTTGACAAAACATGTACGTTCATGTTTGACAAAACATTTACGAAGAAATCATGACAAATTCAAGAGGGTAGAAAAGAGGTTAGAAAAGAGGTTAGATCTAACCTTCTACCCTAAATTATATTTTTGGTCATTTACACTCATTACGAAGAAGTCTTGACAAAACATTTACGTTCATGTTTGACAAAACATGAAAACATATATAATTTGTGAAAAGCGACACATTATATAATGTTTTCGACCCAGAAGAAGGCTTCTTCTCAGAAGCAATGGAGGAAGAAGAAGAGTCCTCCGAATATCAACTTCATTATACCAAACATCCTCAGGGCTAGAAGGCACGAAGTGCCTGGAAGCCCCACTACCTTTTTTTTTTTTTTTTTTTTTTTTTTTTTTTTTTTTAGATGAATGATTGGGTATTGATAAGTATGGATATATCATTATTAAATTATACCGATCAAAAAAATTAGCTTGAAAAAATTTATTCAAAATGATGAGCTTTTTAAAAATTATTTGTGTGAAATTAGAAAGAAATAGAAAACAAAAAGAATTTCATCTTAGATTATTTTTTCTGAGTTTTAAAACTCGATCATAAATTATTAGTTATATGAAAAAAAAAAAAAAAAAGGTAGTGGGGCTTCCAGGCGCGTTGCGCCCTCTAGCCCGAAGATGTTTAAAAAAGTTGGAATTGAGGTAAAATTAGATGTTTAGTTTCATGGAACTTGACTGTCCATTGCATCTGCCATTTGTTGGTCGTCTTCTGATGGTGTTCTTGAATGATATTCTTCTTCTTCGGGTACAAATTCGTCATCATCAGGTGAGTCTTGTGGTTCATCTTCTTGAGTAGAGTCTTCTTCTTCAACATCAAAGTCATCTGGTGTATCGAACTGAATGTATGAAAGCCAAATGTTGTATGTGTTTTCCAATTGGCTTTCAAACTTGAGATACATTCCATGCATGAGTGTTATTTCAGTTTCAACGTAGAGTTGCTGACGTGGCTTGAAGACATGCATGAGAATTGGTCCTCCAAATTCGTCCTTGAAAAACTTGCAGTAGCAAACATAAACTGAGATAGAGTCTCCTTCTTCAATGTCTTCTGCTTGGTTAACGAAATGAATAGCAATTTTGCGTACTTGAATTGTGTTGTTGTCTGAGTAAAATAATGGTTTGAACTTGGGGTTGAGTGAGCTAAGACATTGCCATTTTGCTGTTTCTTGTCCGTACTCACGTTCTTCTTCGTCATCCTGATATCCATAACTCTTTAATTTGAATTCGACCCAAAACTGTTCGACTTTTTTTGCAGCTTTGGGTGGAAGACTTTCAATAAGCTGACATATAGTTCTGTCAACCATTATCTTTGTTATTGTTGGAAAATAGTTGACAATTGTGTCACCTAATTCGAATGGGTCAGGTGTTTCTTTTTGTAGTTTGGTAAAGTCTGCAAGAACTTTGTTGAGTTGTTCACAATATTCTTTGTTAAAAGTTGCAGCAACTCTTTCTTCTGGCTTTGAATTGAAGTATTCTTCAGACAATCTGAGTAGTATTTTGCGTAGTTCAGCGTTGCTGTGGTTCTTTGTAATACGGAGCTCGTTTGGTATTGTTTTTGGTAGTGAAAGTGGCTTTGGATTGAGCGAATTGTCTGTTCTGCTTGGAGAATGTGTAGATGCTGCAGTTTGATATTGAGGCTCTAAACCTGTGGGTGCTGAAAGTTTGCAAGCAATTTCTTCAGGTGAATTTGGAGCGAACACGCTAGCGAATGCCATTAGACAAAAATAAACTGTTTTTTTCGGACTACTCATAGAAAAGTTTAAAATAAACCGTTTTCGTCAACGGTAACCCCCTCTATTTTTTTATTTTATTTAATAGTTACCGTTGGCAAACCGTTCCATCTCAAATATTGAATGAACTATAAACGTTTTTTGTTTTCTATATATACTTTTTGTCCAACGGTAAAACTTTTTACACAACGGTTTTTGAGAGTCGTCGCCGTTGACTTTTTTGTAGAGCACTCAAAATAGTATAACTTTGTCCGGACAAGTAAGGGTCTATCGTCGCTACAGGAAAAGTTACGGGCGTTCCAAGGAAGTATACTTTGAGAAGCCTTTTCTCCATTTTAAAACAAGATAGGATGGTTATTTTACAAAACTGACAACACTTTGACCGAGTAGTTTTTTGTGCTGAACAAAAAGTGTCATATAAACATCTGTCAAAAACCGCTTTTTAACTTCACTTAAAATGCCACGTAAGCTACGTAAGAATATACGTAAGAGGAAGAGAGCATTGAAACATCCAATAGTAAAACTAACACCACAACAACAGTTGCAACAACAAATGATGAATGACCCCACTATGTTGCAACAAATGTCAAGCAACCCTATGCTTTTAAACCGAGTTATTGGTGCACAGAGTGGAGGTTTAAGAGCGGCACTTTTAGCGAAAATGGCAGGCTATGGTGGAGCTGCAGACGGAACAGCTTATAACCCTCAAAGTCAAATGAATTTGAGTTCACTCAAAAATCAAATAACAGATGTCAAAAAGTCAAACATAGACATACAGAAACAAATAAGTGAAAACGAAAAGAAACTAGAATATGACAGACACACAAAGAAACTCAATGAGTTAAACGTAGAGAAAAAGAAGAAAGAAGAACAACTGAAAGAACTAAGTACAGAGGAATATGCGAAAAAAGTGTCAGAAAAAGCAGCAGAAGTAGCAAAAATGGAACAAGATGTTATAAATTTGAAAAACCATACTACTCAATATAAAGTACTGAAAGATGAAGAGATAAAACAAAAAGCCCTGAAGACATATATGGATAGCGATGAGTATAAAAAAGAAGTTGAAGCAAATGTAAAGGCAGAAAAACTTTTACAGTTGCAAAACCAAACCGTACAGTATGAAAACTTAGCACAAGAAAGTAAAAATAACGACGCAGCCATGCAAAAGGCAATGAAAAGCGCAGAATATATAAAAGCTAATAATGACTGGTTAGATGCCCAAGCCAACGCTAAAGCAGCCCAACTTATAGGGTCAATAAGGACAAAAATACAAGCGGATGAAGACAGTTCAAATGAAGCTTTAATGAATGCTGACTTTAAGAACGCCTTCGAAGCTCTTCATAGTAAGGTGAAACTAGTGAACGACTTCTCATCTGGAAAGAAACTGAAGTCTGAAGGTTTCGACAACGAGTTAAGAGAAGTAGCACAAAATATGACGAAAATAACAGATGCAGCAACGAGACAGGCAGTTCAAAGTGCCTATGACGCCGTTAGAGCAACTGTTGTGGAAAGTCAAGAAAAAGAGTTACAACAGACCAAAACAGACCTAGTAAATGCTTTCTTAAGAACGAAAAGTCAGGTAGGACATTATGCTGCAGATGGAACATATGTGCCAGCTGGTGGAACTTATATACCAGCTGGTGGAACTTATATACTAGCTAGTGGAACTTATATACCACCAAACCCTCCAAGAGAAGCACCTGCACCAGGACTACCTAAAACATTTACATCGTCACATGGACACAGACACAGGCATGCACCAAAACCAACACAACAACCAACAGTTCAAAACCAGCACCACAACCAACAGTTCAAAACACTGCACCACAACCAACAGTTCAAAACACTGCACCACAACCAACAGTTCAAAACACTGCACACAACAACCACAAACAGAGCAAGGACATAAAAGAAGTAGAGAACAAGGAAACCAAGAATTCTTAAAAATGCTTAAGGAAGACTATGGTTACCCAGATACTCTTGACTTTAGTGACAGATATAAAGAAGCTATTAGAAAGTTCAAGGAAGGAAATACTGACCCGAACCTATTTAGCTTTATGGTTCAGCACCAAATGGGATATAATTTCAAACCTGGAAAATACAAGCTCGCTAAGGGATATGATTTAATAGCATATCATCCAAATGACATGACTGAATTTACTCCGAGATATTTGGTGTCAGAGCTAAATGATAATTCAACTCTCTTCATGAAACGCGTAAAAAATAGAGACGGAACGAAAGAAGAAAGGTTTATGAGTCCGGATGACTTAGATAGGGAACTTGTTAAAAACGGTCTCGGAATATATGAAATGCCAGCAGATGAGGTACAAGAAACTCCACAGGAAGAAGTTCAGATACAACCAGACATGGAAGAAATAGTTCAGCAACAACAGCTAGAAGAGCCTGAAGGAAACGAACAAGTCCCTCCTTTGGAAACTAACTTCACAGAACTAGATGAAGATTTGGAACAGCCGAAAAATCTTGACCCTCAACAAGTGTATGCGGAGAATATGGAATCTTTCCAAGAGTCTAAGAAAAATTCGGCTGACATAGTAGAAGAATATCGAAAAATGTTCGCCGACATACAAAAGACTCCAACATCAGATGAAAATATTCAGCATAGAATGGAAGAACTGAAAGAAAATGTACGCAAATACAACAATCCTTTTTACTTACGACCATATAACGTTCAATCTTTGGCTGAACTCGGTGAAAATAAAAGGTTAAATTTCAACAAAACATATAGAAATGAAACATTGTTTAAAGTTCATTCAGAACCTAACCAATATGGAAACAAACCTACTTTTGTTTCTGCAGACTATGGAACTACAATGAGATGGGGTCATAAAGCTAATCCGGATAGGTGGTTCATAAACTTACAACCACAATTCCAAGAAGTTGTAGACGCAATGGAAGTGAATGGTGAACCAGATATAGCTGGTATTTTCAGCGCGGCTTTAATGCCATTGAAAGATATGAAAGATGCAGATATTTTGGACCAGTATGAAATGAACATGGCTGATGGAAATATAACACCTGACGTTCTAAACATTTATCTCAAAGAACTACACAGAACCATAGAGATGGTATATTTGGTGAAGAGTTTAGAAAGAAAGTTAGGGAGAGAGAAGGAAGAGAACCTATTGTACATGACCTTGCAAACGAAAGTTTGCAAAATGTCATAAAAACTTACTTTGCAGACAATGAACCGAGAAGGGATGAATATTTAAGAAAACTCAAATGGACAGTACCAAATGAAATGTTAGTATTGAAAAACATGTTCCTTGACAAAATAAAACCAACTACAGAAATAAATGACGCAAGACTGAAACATTGGGTAAAAGCTTTCCCATTCACAAAAGATATTATTGGTAACATGGAAAGAAAACCAGAATGGCTACAAAAACATATATTTGGAAACGAGCTTATTCCATATGGACAAGCTCTGTTTGAAGAGCTTGAACCGGAAACTCAGGAAAGAGTCATGCAAACAATACGCGAAGACTCAAATACAAACTATGACAAAATCTTTCTAGGATATAGGTTACCTGAGATGGGCGACCAGAGCCCAAAGGCAAAAAGGACATGGGAAATTTACAACATACTAGGTGAACATGAGGCAAAGATGCAACAACTTGAAGCAGAGGGCAAGTTACCAAAAGCGACACCAAAGAAGAAGAGTAGAACAAAGTGAAAGTAGTGAAGAAGTAACTTCATCTAGTGAAAGTAGTGGCAATGAAGGAAAAAGAAGAGTTAAAAACTCAGTCAGGAAGAAAGTAAAGCTTGGTACGAGTGGGTTCTATTATGACATATAAATCCAACTATTCTATATTTTTACCCATATGAAATGTACGCCGCTCAGAATATAACGCCAACAGTTTTGGATGCCATGAACGGAAATGTTTCCGAATGGTATAACGAATGCGACAATGCCATTAGAAGGTCAGAAATAGTTCCTGGAACTTACGAATATACAACTGCTGTTTCTTATGGAAACGTAGGTGAGTTTGGAGAAGGTTCTTCAACAACAGTAGATATTGCTTGCGACAGGTTTCATATTATTTCTATTGACAACTCATTCTTATACGTGGAACAAGACATTGAAATAAAACCTTCTGCCAAGTTGTCTGACAAGAAAGGTTGCAATGGAATTTTCTATGTCGGATACCAATATGCTCCAGAAGTTTTCATGGGATATAAGATATATTCTAACTCTGACTTAGTTCAAACAGTAACATGGGCAAACTATGAATGGTTCGCTTTGAGAAACTCAGTACAACCACAAGCTAGAGAACAAACAGACCAGTATGCAAATATTGAGAAAATAAGAAGACTTGACCCTAACGTTCCAGGAGTTTATGTTAACCTTTCTGGTTCAGATGGAACTGCTGCACTAAAGTAAAACTGAAACTTAGAGTTCCTTTGTCATCTTTCCTCATCTTCAGGTTTTTAAGATACTTGCCAAACTGGGCAGGAAAAATTTCTATCGAACTTACTCCAAGCAAAAATAACTTAGTCATTGCACCAACACAAGACCCATTCACTCTTACAGACGTAACTGGGAGCAAATTCATTCGCCGACTTTTGCAAAGACAAAGTTGACTTAGACTTTGGTTTCTCAAACTTCAACAATGAAGTAAACTATTATTTCAATGCTGCTGGAACTGCTTGGGACCCAGTTAAGTTCACATGCGAAAAATTTGAATGCAAGAGAATAGAAAGCAGACTTGCAGTCTATATGTTGGACCCAGATATTTCAAATGCTTTAGCTGCCAAATATATTGCAGTTCCACTTATGTTCCCTATACACCAAATATCTGTCAAAGACTTTGCAGGTGAAGTTGGAAACCAAAGTGCTGACCCAGGTGCAAGAACAGATATTGCTTTAACAACTGCAATGAAACATGCAGATACTATGTTTGTACTGTTCAGACGAACTATAAATGACTATTCTTGTTTCTACAACCCCGGTATTAAATATCATATAAACATAGATGGCAAATATTATCCAAGAGAAGAATATTCTACAGTTGAGGATATGAGGTCATACAACTTGACATTAGATGCTATGAACTTTAACAACAACTTCACAACAACCATTAACCCTGAAATGCAAAGTTCTATTATGCCATATGTGAAAGTATGGACTCATACAGGAGGTCAAAAAACTCAATATACAAATGGAGACCGTTCAAACTTTTGGCTTGGCATTCCATTTGCTGACTCAGAAGACTTTATGGGTGGTATTTCAACTGTTGGTACTGTACAAATACAATATACTGGTGACAGAGACGGTCCAGATGAACTGAGAGCAAAGAAGTTTACAAAACCAATAGCACTTTTCACGGAAGATGCTCTTTTGAAGATTCGTTCGATGAAACCTGCTGGGGCTCCTCAGATTGGCATAACGACAGCTTCCATCGAGCAGATTTTGGCAGCAGGTCAGTAAGTTGTTCTTGAACTGACTTCTCTCCGTCAAATATTGACAGTACGCCAGTTTTGACATAATATTGTAAGATAAACTTACCTTTAGAAATATCTGTAAGTTTTGTTGTTATATTTTTGTCTGCTTCAAGAACTTTCACCATTTCAGTTATACCAACTTTCTTTGCTTTATGAAAATATTTTGGTTCAGCAAAGATGCTATTCTATAACATTTTCCATTGTTTGTGTAAAGAACTATTCTGTCAATGTATTTGTATTGTTTGTGTGTGTAAACTTTGTTCTGCTTCAATTCGAAGAGATACTCGAATACGTCCATCTTTTTATTCTAAGTAAAATGTCATTTCCGAAAAATAGAAGCGTAAGTGTTTCAAAAGGTTTAATGGCGGTGGCAGATGTGAAGTTAAATTCACCAACTCAAACAAACAGTCAAAGTGTTGTTGTCAATGTCAAAGACAGAGATGTTGAAGTGGGGAAACCATACGAAGACGAAGATGGTATAACAATTGTTCCTGTAAAAGAACAACCAACATATCCTGAAGTTAGCAGAGACTTAAGTTCTGTTGCAGATATTCGAAACGACTACCAACAACTGAAAGACAAACTTCAAACTCAGGAGAAGATTTGTCAAGCTTTAGTATAATGTTAAACTTGGTCGAACACAACCCTGTAAAAGTGAACTCATATGTCATTGCACCTCATGAAGTTTTGAAAGAACTATTGAAACTTTTGACAGAGGCAGACGATATAAACATCAAAGAAATAGAACCCGACATTAGTTGCTGTGGTGTTTCATATAATGTCATTGACAAGATATACGTTATGAAAGGAGGTGAAACGTTGAACTTAAAGTATAGTTTCCCAGACGTCATAAAAATATTTGACGACCACAACATTTCATTAAAATTTATTTGCTAAGTAAAAATGTCAAAACTTCTTGAAAGATGTTTGAAGAAAAATAATATAGACTTTATTTCATGTAAAGGACTTTACACACTTTTGAACGATATGAAAGACCCTGTTTTGTTTGTTCGTGTAGACAAAGGAAAGTTCTATGTCTTTACAAAATATTTGAACTTCTTAGACAGAGAACTTCAAGAAACGCCATGTGAAAGTTTAGATGAAGTTCTTCTCCACTTTCAGAAAAACTTTTAAATATATATAAATGGCAGAAGATATAATGGTTTATACTATTACGACTAAAAACCCTGAGTCATATAATTCTATAACAACAAACTTACAAAGTCCTCAAGGACGATATTGTAAACTAACCTTAAACACAATGACGACTAAAGCCTGTTTTGCTCTTTTGACACCAGAAGACTTTATTGTTGTGAATGGTAAAAAATACTCCTTTGAAGATACTTACTCAGATATACCACCAACAGGTTTTGTTGACTTATTTAATACTTTAAGTACGGTGTAACATGTGCTGCAACTAGAGCAGGTTTCATTATGTTTGGATGT